AGCGTTACTGAAAGACTCAGCAATGACGGAACATGTACTGAATAAGGAAGTTTTGAAGGTGACTGCGGTCCACGCCACAGAAAGGCGATGGAAATCGCCAAGCATCCCAGTGTAAACAGAATAAAAGGTGCAGAACTTGGAAGCGTTTGGATAACGGTTTTGGATCAGTCGAGCTAACACGGGTTGGTTTGCGGTTAGCAGAAGGAGAAATCATCAGCACAGGTAGCTTAGATCTGAATCACATTTAGTCTCGCCCACCTTCCCTCTCCCCTCCCAACTAAATTGTCGTATCACTCACAAGCCCACAAGGACCAACGAAATCTACCAGTGGCACCCAAAGTTAATCATCATTTGAAGCAACTTGAAGTGGAAGATTAAGGAACCAAACCCGATCGGAACTAAATTAAGACTCCCCCAGCCCATCAACCGCAATACTTAGGCAACCAAACTAACGGGTAAGACCCTTCAGTAGACATTCAACACTGATCTAGTATGCTACTTTGAAGAGGTCTTACTGAGTGGTACTCCGTCTGCCTTAAAACCTGGCCTGATGAAGCTTTTGTGTCAAAATCTAAACGTTGCCCAGTTAAAGACAACCGATCGTACTGACCGCCCATGTGTCCGCCCTATCTGACGCATGGCTCGAGAAGAGTATCTTGCAAGATAAACGACATTCTGACATGTGGATTGCGTGGTCCGACCAGCGTAACTTATGGAGTGGGACCAGCTGATCTATCGAAGCAGAGTCGCCTGAAAAACATCTGGAGAACCTCAGCCTTACTGATATCATTCTCCCACTTGACCGATACGATGCATCAGAGACAGTAATGGAAGGTCTCAAAGCACCGATCACGTCTCCGATCTATAAGTTAGACGGATCGAACCGCAGCGTTGTACACACTAGCCTTAACAACCAAAGTGATGTCACACGCACAAAAGTCGAGAGTTGGAAAACATTACTCTATGCTTCTCTATTTGCTTGGTACTTTCGTCTTTCGGCAGTCCGCCGGAACATTCACAGCCGTCCAGATAAACGAACATGTTTATCAAGTCGTTCCTTTCTGTCACAAGAATGGGCCTGGGGTTTGATTGAGCACAGTCCTATGGTAACAGTGTACATTTTTCAACTAAAAAGCTCGTGCCGATCATTTAAAATGGTTTACGCTTCCAAAGGGTCCAGCCAGTGAAGGGTGATGTCGTCAGAGTGTTTAGGGTTTGTAAACGAATTTTTCAGAGCATCAAAACAGCTGCGAATAGAACTAAAACGTCTCCTTATTTCTCAGCGATAGAGAGCTCTTTTCAGGACGGCCTGTTTGACTTTGTGTGCTGCTGGATCGACCGTGAGAGAAGGCATACCTTTTACTGGCATAAGGTATCATGGAGGACTTTTTATTTGTTTGGCGTCCAACTTTTGCCTTCGGAAATTGTCACCGAAAAATGCTTGCTTGAATGCACAGGCCGAGTTACACGCAACACCACTGATTACCTTTCTGCTTTGATTTTTCGTTAATGTTCAAGACGGGACTTGATATTTCTGTATGACAAAGCAGCTGCATCCACCTGCCTAACAACATTTTGGCTGGACTAGTCACCTTTCAGTTTGAATGAATGGTATTCTCTGATTTGGAAGTCCTGACTGGCGGACCAGTCGGTCGACACAACCTAGCTATGCTACTGGAGCGTCGTTCGAGGCACCGGGCTTTACGCTGACCTCACTCTAGTGCGAACATGACCACCTGTTCAGACGTAGTAGCGTTCATACCTTATCTTGTATTCCCAAGGGTTGTCGCATTTATTCGCGAAATATCATATGTATTCGATAGCTCTCTGGGCATCGCTGGCTCGTTCCAAGCTTCAGTATCCTAAGTTGTGCTGGAGTGGATGTATGCGTACGATGCGAACTACTGATCCCAATGGTATTACTGGCACTCTACTGAATTTCACAACCCAGTGAAGATCATAAGTGGCCGAGTGTTCCTACTAACCTATCGAGTACTATACATGTTGAATTTGTTCAAATCATTGGACAACTTTAATACTCTCTTTCCATCTCAGCAAGTCTAGAGCTCCAATTTTTGACTGAACCTTACTAAGAATTTGCATTCAACCAGTTCTATCGATCAGTTAATCGAATTCGCCTCTTGTCAGTTAAACTCGATCAACTGAACATCGTTCAAGTTGCCAGGCTTTCGTTCCGAAAAATTTGCCAAAATTTACTGCTGATACGAATATAATCTTAAATCTTTCCCTGTGTATTCGTTGCAAAACATACCCTTCTTTGAATTGTTGTAAAAACAAACATGTTATTATCGATTATTCGGGTTCCCGATCCCTCCAACACATGCATGGTACATAAGGGATGTCCAGACTAAGCAACTGTGAATTGCATATGAACAGTAAACCTCTGAACCCTGGAATGGGATACCGAAATACCTGGTCTTGCTTCACTATGTTCTCTTATTTTGACGGAGAGTGTACCACTGCGTGCCCTTGTAGGATAGATGAAATCATCCAGCAGAAAGGTATACATATATCTCTGCATATCTGACCGCCAGTCTTACTCATGCAGTTCATCAGCACCAGAAGCTTGCATACAGGTCGCACGCAGACAGTCTTTGACTCTCCGACAATTCGTAGACGTCCCTCTTTGTCATATTTATTCTTTTCTCCCATAAACAAATCGGGTACTACTCCAAGCGCTGTTTTGGAGCTTCCGTATCCGGTTTCCGCTCACCACAACAAACTTCAATAAAACTAACACCTTCTATGTCCACGCGCATTGGTTTTCGCCCGTAGCCGCGGAGCAGTTCAGGCTTCTGCGGTAAACAGGAAATTAAGTTCTTCCTAACGAAGCTCGGTCACATTGGGAAAAACACAGCAAGGCATGGTTGTTGTTCTGTTCGCCGAGCTTGGCAGTGGGACTGCAAACGTTTCAACACCAATCGAGGCACTTAACTAATGAAAGTTGAATAAGGTCTAAGTGATGGCCATAATCATGAATGTGGGACTGGTCAGATGCGCGTTGCACAAAATCGCTTCTCACGACCGGTCGATCAGGGCAGCAACTGAGTTTGTTCCGGGTGTTCAGGTGACTAGACACGTCAGCGGACCAGGAAATGATCACAAGTGTGTTCAAATGCGATCATCGCGCTCTCTTAGAGAAGTGTTCTTACGATCGCCTTACCAGGTTTATAACCTCTGCAAGATGAAGGATAGACAATAGCGGTGGGCCCTAATGTGAATGAAACTCGATTCAAGTAATTCACCCCTTTGTGAACGACTAACCTGGATGACCGTACCGGGACATTAGAGCCAGGGTAGTAAGGATACACACTCAACACGTCCCGCAAGTGGTTCTGGATTGCCAGTTACTTGGCGTTGAGATATACAATGAACGGAAGACACGCTTCAATAAACACCTTTGTGATAAATTGATTTTCCATTACCACAGATTTCGTTCCGTCTTGCAATACTGCGTGTGTTTTTATCACTTGGGCTCCGAGTAGAATTTCGTTTAGCACGATTGTTCAAACACGATAAAGCAGTTTTAGTTCAACGTTCGACAAACAATGGAATAGATATTTTACGATAATATATCATTTTTTGTAAATAAAAGAGGCGAAGCCGATTCAGTGGGTGAGTTCTCGCAGCACTTGCCGCTTTAGTCGAGACATTTCTGGTGGCGTCCACACTGTTTGTCACTTGCTATGGTTAGGTCATCATGTAGTCGGTCAACATCATCTCGGACAACGTGTTGCGTGGCTGTCCCGCGAACACCATGCTGTCTGTTGTGAGAGCTCTGGCTACGATCGCCAAACATCCAGAGCAGTTGTGTTGGGTACCGTGGGAAACGAGGGAAACTGAAAGTAATTCCGTCTCAAAGTCCTCCTTTACACACAGTGTATTTGTAAAAACCTTATCGGGGCTCAAGTGAAGACAAGCTCTTTTTATCGACCAGATAACTCAACCAATTTGATTCCAAACTGACTATCTACATGCGGTGTCACTGGAATAACAAGTAAAATTCAGATGATGGTGAGAGACAGGACCTATTCGGTTACAGATACAATGAGACCGTGGACTACTATTGCGATCTCAAATTTTCAGGACATTCTCTGATTGCAAATAGGTGGACGTGTCTACCGCATCGTTGTGGACCTCACATTTTAATGCTGACTGACGAACAGTTTTGCATTATTTAACACGGTAGTCAATAACTTCGACCTGCTCTCGAACTAGAAGAAACTAGGGTTTGCATCATTGACATCAAAATGAATTACCGCTTGTGAGATCCCGAATTAGAATGTGCTGGTTCGCTTGCTACGGGACAATCAAAAAGCTGTTTCGTACCTGCCTAGTAGCCTACCAAGCTCACCCGTTGCCGCTCCAGAAAGGCGTGCCTTTCTGAAAAGACAGAACGCTTTGTGACGTACAATTTACTAGTCCCGATCGATTCATGTGCTGTTTTTTGAACCCGAGTTATTGCCAAGTTGGTTGGGATTTCGAGAAATACACTCATTTGCAAATCAATTTGGTTTTCACGACAGACTCACCTGAATCTCTCGTTTATGATATTCTACAACTGAGTGTGCTGCACAAAGGCCGCCTCGTGATTCAGTTGGCACGATATTCGAGATGTCGCAGTATATTTTCATAAAGGAAACTACTCACAAGGTTGCTGAAAACTTTTCGACAGCTCACGACCGGTTTCGCCCTTTTTGGGGGTCATCAGGTAGGCGCAGTCCCCGATTTTCCGTCAACCTTAAGTTCCACTTGAATCCAAATTGCACTGTCTTCGAGAAATGCACTCATTTGCAAATCAATCTAGTTTTCACGAATCAGTTGTCTTTCGTGAAAACCAAATTGATTTGCAATTAAGTGTATTGCTCGAAAACAGTCTAATTTGTGTTCAATCAGAACATTTGGTTGGGATTTGTTTATTACGGGAACAAAGTGAGGAGCCTCAGTGCTTCAGGTAAGAGGAATGTGTGAGCGCTCACTGTTATATCTGCTGATTCGCCGGCCTGTGGTATCTGCTGCTGACCCGCTCCAGTGCCTAGTGTCGGAGAGAAAAAGGCTCACGGGAGGGAACACAATAGCTATACTCCAACAAAGTGCTTGCGAGAGCGCGAGTGCGCGAGCCTCAAGCTTTTTATTGGAAGGACACTGTCTGAACTTGGTCCAATGCCGACGCACGCGGTCTGGCTGTGACGTGCTACATATCGCGGGGGCGTTGTCTGACCTTGATCAACGCTGACTCGCGCTGTCTGGGTTTGATACAAGGCTGTGACGCGCTGCATATTGAGGGGGCGTTTTTTGTCTGGTCAACACCCAGCGGAGCTGAGAGTCTCCGTAGATTTCGGGCATTCAGTGGTTGCTTTCAGGCACGCGGTCTGGCTGTGACGTGCTACATATCGCGGGGGCGTTGTCTGACCTTGATCAACGCTGACTCGCGCTGTCTGGGTTTGATACAAGGCTGTGACGCGCTGCATATTGAGGGGGCGTTTTTTGTCTGGTTAACACCCAGCGGAGCTGAGTCTCCGTAGGTTCCGCGCATTCAGTGGTTGCTTTCAGGAAGCTGACCTTCCTGATACTCACATCATACTAAAAGGTTACCAGGCCAAAACATAGAGACAGCCCGTGTTCAAGGTTAGTACATTAGTGTGGCTTCCATTCCACTATGTTTTTTCCATGACCTCCGAACTCGTCACTCGCGAAACTAACCATGGTGTGTTTAGGCGGCTAGTTACCTTGGCCTTACCACAGTCCATTTTGGATCGTATTCCCCGGAATATAACTAAAAACCGACACTATTTCCCATGGTCGCCATCGTACAATCGACATTACAGCTTTGGTGTTCGACCCTAATGCATTTCTGCCCTACGACCATGACTTATCTGATGAAAAGAATAACAGTGGGTGGGCGGATGACCTAGTGGTAAGGTGTTGACTCTTCCGAGGTGCTTACGCCTCCAGACAGCAATTCACACGATCTGGATAAGAGATAACAGTAACTGGCCTTGCTGAGGAGCCATATTTTGCAGCGGGAAACCCATCCAAAGAGGCGTGTTATCAGATTCGCGTGCCCCCATGCCACATCAAAGGCTGAGCACATCTTTCCTTGCGTCGTTCTGAAGCAGTCACGCAAAACTGCAATTACAATGGTAGTGAATTTCGTAAATCTCAGCGGAACTCGATGTTTGGAGATCAGCTTGATTAATTATTTATGACACGCGTTTGTTGTGTATAATAAAAAGCTTTTCAGAAGAAAATCGCAGGCGTTTTCCAGTGATAGCTCGGCTGCTGATTTGATCACAATTGTCGATAGGTTGGACATAGGCGTTGAGAATTACCTGATAAGCGTTTAGCTTTCCAGGCTACGGCTTAGGTACTGAGGTTCCCATGCATGAGCAACCAAAGTGTGAGGAACACCTAAAACGGGAAGTTGTTAAACAAAGATCTGTAGCCAGATAAACAACCAAGAAAGTCCTCGAAATTCTGCTGCATCTCAAAACGTCCTTTGTTGATCTTCCAGTTAGGAAGTGAACTTACTCAGATAGCTGGTGGAGTGAATCAGGGTGTATACTAATAAATCCAGCAAGGGAGAATATATTCCGGTTTCATATCTCCTAATGAATGTGCCACAACTTACAACCTCACCCTGAGTAGATGATAACTCGTTGGCAAACTCCAGTGAATACTTCCACACTATGAAGGGATTAAGTGTGGTTTGTAGACAGTTTCCAGTACTTCACCGATCGGTTTTCTGACATGAATGATATTGCATGTCTGCAGTCGTTTAGGAGGATACCTCGTTTGTCTTAGGGACATCAGGAAATATATAATTTCCTAAGACGACCTCACAAGTTTATCCGAACCCATTATGTGAGTCCAAACATGTTTTGTGAGTCCAACTGCTCGGATCGATTACGTTCTTGTTACGACTGAGTCAAATAAGCATATGATTGGTATAAAAAAGAGAGATGAAACGAATTAACGTCAACGCTTAAGGCATACCACTGTCAGCGCTTGGCGGTTATCAGCTTCTATCCAGTTTTTGGAGTTAAATATAGTCGCACCGATTACGCAAGAATGATAAACGTTTTAACTGTTCGGTAGGAAGGTACATACGACAAAAGTCCAGCCTCAAAAGCCAAGTTAATGGTAATCCTCTTTCCTGTCCCTCGAGAATTGCGTTAAATTAACTTTCTTGGATACCAGGCCATTCAGATTTTAAAAAAACGGAACGAGCGAAATCTCCCGGCATGGCTACAATCAGTTTGTCTGTTTTCGTCTCTGTCGATAGCTGACCTTGAACACGTAAAACTCATTGCAATTAATGGAAATCGACTGTGCTAGACATGGAAAGAAGCAAACACACGTTGATTTTCAAGAAATTTACTATCCGATCGAAGTTGGTTGATCGAGAGGCGCACATTCCATCGATGCTTGTAGTCACTGATTGACTGTTTCAGTGTGTCAAAACACAATTTAGGTCATTCTGAATAACTTCAGCACCCCCAGGTGTACCTCTCCTGAAAACGTGGAGCTAAGTGTTCTGCCGCTGATTTCAACCAATGTAGTTAGTAATTAGCTTCCCTTTAAGTGTTTTCTGTGGGTTACAGCGCCAGCTGACTTCGTCCTGGGGGCCTGTATCTAGGTGACTTTTGTCACCGTGGTAAACAAAACCTACTCGATACACTTAAGTCACTCGACTGTTTTTGTATAATCGGTGCACATTCGATAACGCAGTTGTCAATGTGTTATTCGATTGACATGTAAATGGGCACCGAAGGCTGATTTGGTTTTCTCTGGGTAATTTTCAAACAATTTGGGTGAGATATATGAACATTTTCAAGGCTTTAGTCATTGAAGGAGTCCAGCTCAGTTTTCCGCCCCGGGTCATGAAAGCGACTGGAGAATGAATAGAAGAACAAATCTGTCAAACGACAAAATCCATTCGGCGATTGTGTTGGTCTCATGTGGACAAACTCATCGGTTTACTCTTGGGTATTGTTAAATCCTTCGGAATTAGCATATCTGCTGGTGTGGTAATCGGCTATCTGTACAGGAAACCATCTACTTGTGTCACTTTTCCACTTCCGTATGACTAGATCTTGGGGACTAGCCATGTAATCATATGTTTTGTACCAGATATTGATGCCAGAAATACGTTTTATGCTTTTTTTGACAAAAAGCTGATGGAGAGAAGAAAAAAACGTGGCCAAAGTGACACGAGATCTACTTGACTGCGCCATTTACGTCCCTCCAGCTGTAGAACTTTTGAGCACGTTGCTATTTCTAGCGTAGCAATGAGATTTTGAACGTATGTTTAGAATTAGCTTCCTTCTGGAGTCAGATCTTTTCAACCTTCATATAAACGGCTAATGGGACATGTCAGAAAAGTTTTACAAAAACTAGGCTGCTGCCCACAAGGTGACGTTCTAAGAGAACAGATGCCGACAAGGGGAGGAAACGTGATATCCGGCCCCAATATAATGTTCATTAAAAGACTCATCCTCTTTTTAGACTAGGCTGTTTTAGGTGGGTCCGTATCCATTGAGTGAAAACCATACCGATGTTGCGCCTGATCAAGGCCATTGGAAAATTTCAGGCTAAAATAGTAACTTGTTACAAGGTCGCAAGTAAACCACTCGGCGGCTGTCAAGCTAAAATTCTTATGCCTAATTGTCTAACGTTTTCAGAATCATTTGAGCCATTCTATCTCCGAACTTTGCTACTTGGAGACCTGGAAGCGAACCAGGGCCCTCGATTGAGCTATCTCCGCCTTGCTGTTCATTGGTCCCCAAGCTCATCTGGTCAGATGCGATCCCACTCCCGTACAGTTCGGGCGAATCATATTCTCACATTAAGTGAACCAAAAAGAACCTCGTTTTACTGCTAGTCTCACCCAAAAAGGCAGTTTATTAGTTCACAGCTATCGCTTTCAACATCAGAAGCACTTGCTGGAACAGTTTCGGCTCACAGTGAGATTATCTATTATCTTCAGGGAGCTAGCGACTGATTTTGTAAACTATTATTTTCCGGGAATTCAAGCAGCGTGAGTAACACATGAGACATTGGATCAGTCTATATGCGTGTTGAAGTGGCTGAAAACTCTTCGACAGTCCACGACCGGTTTCGCTCTTCTTGGGACCAACAGGTAATTGCATTCCCCGATTTGTCGTCAAGCTTATGCTGCACTTGAACTCCACTCGCAAGGAACTTCGAAAAATACGCTCATCTGTATGCCAATTTGGTTTTCACCGAAAAGTCACCTGAGACCCAGCTGAATCTCTCGTTGACGATGTTCTTATTGAACTGAATGTGCTGTACCAGCCCGCCTCATGTTTCATTTGCCACGATATTCAAGATATCGCCATGCAATACTGCTGCGCTTTCAGTTCACGAGGAACATCATAGGCGAAATACTGAGTTGGGTTTCAGCTTGTTCTCTCTTGAAAAGTAAATTGGTATGCAAATGAGTGCGAGTGTTGAGGGAAGCTTCGTTTTTAACAGGGATCAAATCGAATGGCAAGAGAGTGGATCCGTATTTCCACTCATTTGTTCTCATCTGCCTGAGTAGAGCCGACTATATTCACGCAATCACACCATGTTCTTTTTATGCTAATTTTTCTTCCCTATATGGAGTTCCTTCTCTAAGGAGTGCGCTAAAAATGCTCTAGGTTTGAATCTTGCGCGGATTATCAGACCAATTCAGATCACGTGACAGAATAGCATGACAGAAGGATAACGGTGTCATATCTGTGGTGTGGTTTAGTCTATGCTAGCCGTGAATTAAGTAGGGTTCAAACTCTAACACAGGTTCAAATCCCTCGATGAACTTGTGATCTAAAATGACACTTAAACAACTACGAAGCGTTTAACAACATTTCAACAGAGACCGACTTCATCTGTAGGATGAAATCCCGGTTTCAGTTAGAATATTGCTGATAACTCAGCTAACCTGCGCGGTATTCTACGTTTTGCACTTTTTTCAGCGGCGCGGATCTCCTTGCGATGAACACGGACGGTAATATGCCATACGAATGTTGCGTAGCTGGACCCACACTCAACCTGATTGAAACCGAAATGGATCGGAGAGGTAGGTTTTGAGTGGACAGTGTTTTGTGATTTCTCTCCACGGTAACTTTATAGCCCGTGTTTATAGCACTCCAATCCGTTTGTATTTGGGGTGTTTTCTGACCCATTTTGTGCACAAACCTTCGAGCTTCGCACACTAGACTACCCCGAACGAATAATTTTCACCTTAAGCCAATTTTTTAAAATCCATCTGATACACCAACCATAATTTAAAACCAAATTGGTAGCGCTGATGTCAAACCACCTGTAAATCGAATTTGGGAAATCTCTTTTTTATTTCTTTTGTGGTTCTGTTATTATGAATGGTTTTGGGGACTCTTTCTGAGGATGGTGTTGGACAACAGCCATGGACTTCTCGACTGTTCAACAAAGGGGGATTTCAGACTCCTAAAATCCTCCCGTCCAGTGGGCAAGTAAGACTTCGGCAAAATCAAAGGGGACTGGAAAATCTGCCTAGTTGTGATTGAAATAGCACAGTGATGGTCGTTCATTAGATGGCCGAGTTTGCTGTTTATTTCGAAAATACCGTTTGGACAACAGCAGGTTGAAGCAGCTACAGTTTACAAGCGTGTTGAGTTGGAGGAAACGACAGCGAGTGCAGATCATAAAGCCTAGAACATCGAATCTTTTTTAGTAGTTACCGTAGCTTTTCACAATCGATACTGCAGATGCATCGGAGCAAGATCCTCCCATTCTCTAACTCTTCGATTTACCCTAGTTTTTTTCTCGATGATAGCTGTGTTAAACTTCTTCACTTTCGTACTTTGAATTTGTTGGGATTTGGTCAGCCAATTATGAGCTGTGCATTTTCTGGGTCCTAAACCGGTCTATCAGCTTTCCCATACAATGCATTCTACAAATTTGTCTTCTTATCCAGACTTGTTGCAATGTATCATTCAACTACTGTTACAGTTTACATTCATTCATCTGCTGATACGTCCACTTTCTGACCTTATCTCCCAGTTTTCCGTATGGTAAGGGATGTCAAAAGTGGCACAGGCGCAAGGGTGATAATCCTTGGTGATGGTGTACTTTGATAAACAAAGCAAAGACGCACAGATGCGTGTTCAGCTAGTGATATCTTACCAAGAGGACACTTATTCCGGACAATATTTACTTAAACGCAAAAAGAATCACTAAGTAATCCTAGCTTGTTTTTTGTACAGAAGTTTCTTACTATAAAGTTACCGAAAACTATCGAAATGTTCACACGGAGTAGGAATTGTTTACTCGCTATGAAGTTTATCGTAATGGGGGGGGTGCATTGTATCCTCGAACACAAGGGGACAGGAGTCACCAAACAGGGCTGAGTCCAACCTCGCAGAAAATAGAATCAGGCATCCACTCGAGGTGTCCTGAAATTTTTGTTGTGATTGTGTCTCACCTATTTGAATGAGGTCTGCTGTTTCACGTCGAGAGTGCAACTGTCTTTCGGCGATTTGCTTCTGCTCAGAGCCGCAACCAACTTGTGTACAAATCCGCTCTGCTCCAACTATACTGTCCGTACTTTGAATGACCTACTTTGCTGTCATTAATACATTCAATAATGCACTTTTCTAGTTGGATGCCAAATTTTGCCACTCACGTCTCTTATTCAATAGTACAAGTTTTCGGGCGATTCCCACTGAACTACCATTGGTGTTTGGATCTATTTTCATTTCCTCTATGTTCTTCCTGTCACCTATCAATTCCCGTTATCCCATTAATGAAAAGTGAATAGCTTGTATAACCCATCAGGAATTCATCAAAGGTATGCAAGATGAAGCGGACACTTTTCGCTTCAGGGCTACTTGCCGTCAACATAACAAAAAGAAAAACAAAGAAACGGATAAAAGTTTTGCTGTCAGGGTCGTAACATTTTACGGACAGAAGTATCCACAAGCTGCAACTAACGTCCTGTTCAGGTAACGAATGTGGACAGCAGTTATGTTTCATGGAACACAGGTCGGGAACCAATTACAGGGTGGGAAGTAGGTCAAACTAGTCGCACTGTTTCGACGGGACCTTCTAAATACAGAGTACGAAGTGGGTAAACAGTCGATTGGATATTGCCTCAATGGTGGCCAATATGTGACTCTTCACGGCCTTTGACTGTGTTCTCTACATACTCGGTGGCCAGATGCCATGCCGCCCGGAGGAAGGGCTGAGATACCACAGGGTTGCCTAAGCCTAGACAGAAGCAGTCGGCATGACAGGGTTGGGGTCGAACCACGGATATTCTGGCCATCTCGAGCTCACTTCCATTTCAGTAGTTCTGTAGTAATGAAACGAGAATCTGATGTGGAAACCTGTCTGAGAAACTGTACCCATGCAACCAAGGTGCATTCGCTGATGAAATGTTCTCGTCAAGCGTGTTTGTAAATAGAAGCTATTTTGTAGGATTTAGGCAAGGAATTGAAACCCTCCTTCAAAGTTGCACGTATACCACGGTTTCTATTTTTGTGGGTATACATTTCATGAAAAAAATAATACGTCAGCTTAATGAACGACAACAAAATTACCTGTCACAATGAACCAAACTTATAAGGCTTACACGATTCACTTCTCACTGCACCAGTTCGTGCTTCCAACTTATGGATAGCGTATCTGATTTTGTGTCCGTTTTCTGGGTTTTTTCTTGGGACGAACTGGAGTGGCCTCGCAGTCGAATTACTATCCGCACATGCTCAGAAGCGTTATCGGTGGCCAGATGCCATGCCGCCCGGAGGAAGGGCTGAGATACCACAGGGTTGCCTAAGCCTAGACAGAAGCAGTCGGCATGACAGGGTTGGGGTCGAACCACGGATATTCTGGCCATCTCGAGCTCACTTCCATTTCAGTAGTTCTGTAGTAATGAAACGAGAATCTGATGTGGAAACCTGTCTGAGAAACTGTACCCATGCAACCAAGGTGCATTCGCTGATGAAATGTTCTCGTCAAGCGTGTTTGTAAATAGAAGCTATTTTGTAGGATTTAGGCAAGGAATTGAAACCCTCCTTCAAAGTTGCACGTATACCACGGTTTCTATTTTTGTGGGTATACATTTCGTGAAAAAAATAATACGTCAGCTTAATGAACGACAACAAAATTACCTGTCACAATAAACCAAACTTATAAGGCTTACACGATTCACTTCTCACTGCACCAGTTCGTGCTTCCAACGTATGGATAGCGTATCTGATTTTGTGTCCGTTTTCTGGGTTTTTCTTGGTACGAACTGTAGTGGCCGCGCAGTCGAATTACTATCCGTACATGCTCAGAAGCGTTATCCTTATTAGACATATAAACAGCGCTGCAATAGTACAGCCAGTCCCGACATCTCTCGAGGTTCCACTCACTTCTCGAGTGTGTAACTGACATCCAAGGAGAGTGAGTAGCCGAATCTGGGGCAATAGCCATTGGATTGCTTAACCTACCTCTCTATAATAGACTCAACATCACAAACGGGAGATTCGGCTGGGTTCCAGGTGCGTCTCTCGGAAAACCAAATTGGTTCGTTAACTTAGCCTACTTTGAGTCTATTACCACATTCCAATCCGGCGACCCAGCAACACATGACCGAACCGGATCTTCTATCCACTGATTGTCCTGCCTAGACAGGGCGATATGGCTCAAGTGGTTAGAGCGGGAATCTACTGACTGGAAGGTCCTGGGTTCGAACCCGGCCCCTGCCTCTCGACTTCCCCTGTATAGGATTGGGCAACCTGACAGTATTCCAGCCCTCGTGCTTCCTTCGGGTGGCATGGCAGTTAGGCACCGAAATTGTGTTACAGCTGAACTAATATTTTCCTGCCTAGACAACGAACCTCCCGTCACCCTATTATTATCCTGCCTAGACAACGAACCTCCCGTCACCTTGCTTAGCTTCGCCATGCGTTGACAACCAGTTTGTTATAAAAGCCAATGTACTAGCCTAGAAGCGTATCGTCATGCTCGTCAAGAGTTCATTCTTTTCTGCTAAAAATTCGATTCAACGCCTTCCACTTTGAAGGTATCACGCAAGAAGAACTGGATGATCTGCATCGTCTGCCGGAATGCAAAATGTTGGCCGATATGGAGGAAATGTACAAAGCTGGTGCGGACTTTAATCAACTTGACCAACAAGGCGCTGCTATGGTAAGGTTTTCATGGAATTCATCTTTCCCCCATCCCACATTTTTGCTGCAATTAACTCTAGTTTAACCGGTAGTCAACATTCTGCTGTTTACTAATTCGGAATTCTTGTTTTTTCAAACCATGTAACGATTTGTGACTCCATCCTGGGAACTTCCGATTAGAGTGTGAACACCACTCTTCATGATGTGGGTTCTGATTACGTGGTGAGCTACCCAGTTATTTGTAGAATGTACACGGGAGCGTTGTGATGGAATTCAAGGTTGATCGGCTTTGGTTGATTCACCTATATGAAATGGAAATCATAGAACAAAATCACCTTGGAATGACAAAAACCCTGATCGTCTACCACTGTTTTCATCCCTTTTGAAGGTGGGTCTAGATAAATACTCAGACTAGTATGGTCATCAAGGAAGCACTTTGGCTATCGTTCCCAATAAAGTACAAGGCAACATCTATGCAACACATTCACCTGAAGAACATTGCGAATGCAAGATTCAACTGAGACTAAGTTAGGTCTTTGCTGGTACCGGCTTTATTCGTAATTGAGTGTTCATCTACCACAGACCACCTTATTATTTATTGGCCTAGGTCGGGGCTATTCGGCTCCAACAAGATGGTTTCGAATACAAGGTTATCCTAGATCGAGCAGCGTTTTTAGTGACCTACGATAGCGATAGCTTAGAGGAATCTCTTAAAGGCATATATTGGTTTAAGCGAAACGTTTGTACAATTTCCCTGACGTTTCATGGCTCTTCGCTACAAAGTAATTTGCCCACTATCAGAAGCCCGTCATCACAAATTGATCCATATGATATGTATGTGCAGTGCAGCTCCTCCATTCTTCATCACTTTGGATTACCAACTATGATCGGGTCTCATCTTACGAAAGGGTTCCGGTTTACAAAGCTTGGACGGTACCTTGGAATAGTAACAGAGTAGTGAGACATGCCTCATTTACTGCGTTACTTTACGTCATGAATCGAGGAGCAATAGGTGCGCTGCATGCGTATACTTTGCCTTTTTACCTGACAAAGTAAAGACAGTATCAATGCGTCGTTTACTTGTGGCTGTACTGCTCGACACCTGTGCGTGGTTGATAAACCAAAAGTGAATGCGTCTATTCTCTTGAATGCAAACCACTAATGCTGAGGAAATCATAAAGATGTCAAGGCAGGCATGGACTCTCTGTGAGTTTCTCGTCGCCCTGAGTGTGATGACACGACTGATCTCCAACACCAGTCCTTTTACATCGATATACTTGCTTCTTCCGTATATTCAGGGTCAAACAAAGTTTGCACTTGCCCCTGAATATGCTGCATCTGTGCTCTCACACCATCTATACACGAGGTGGATATTCAAGCGGTAATTTAACTGCCGGATGGACGGTGATACTCTCTTCTGCTTGTATGACAGCGCCACCGAATCTAGGTTTAGATATCAGAGCAAACGTACCTTAGGCTATTGGTCGATGCTTCTGTGATAAGCCAAGGCTTGTCAGGCATAGGCACTGGCAAGCTGCGCAGGCCTGTTCTAGCTGCGTTTACACTTGGCAGTGTAGAGTCTTACTGTTTGGCCCGCTTACTTTCGGACGTCAAAGCACACACATTGCTTTAAAGTCGCAGTGCGGAAAACAGCTATTTAGTTCTACATGCCACTCGTCATGTTTTGACATAACTTAAAGTTACCTGAAGGCTATCGCACTGGCAAAATTCCAGCCTTCCTAATGCTTGAAGCAGTACCAGACAATTACTGACTCAAGGAGAAGAGAGCTGGCATAGCAACTGTAGCGTATGAAAACTTCCCATGATTACACGCAGTTTTGGTACTTTTTGTCGTTTTTTATGATTAACAAAGGATAATTCGGTTCCACGACATCTCCAGTCGACAACACTAATTATTCATCAAGCTCGAACATAGAAACGAAGTGAGTCAAGCGCTAGTGAGCTTACCGCGAGTTTCTTCATAAGATCTTGTAATTTCTTTGTGTGGACACAAAGGGCGAGATGCGATTCGCTGGGCTGGCTTTTAGAAGTATGCTCCAGCCATCTTGTTCGTTTGCGGGTTGCAAGCATTCAACCGACCGACCTTCTTCATCGCCTACGTGTTGCTGTCACTACAAGTGAGCAAGTGTGTCAATTTTCACCGTTGGAAATGATCCCAGATGCCGCTGGACCAGCGTTCTTTGTCATTTTGGACTGAGACACTCTTTGGTGGCGATTGTCACGTCGACACCGTAAATTTTCCAGGTTGGCAGAAACGGCACACTTCTTTTGGAAAGCAAAAGTATTTTATTTTATTTGCTAATCCGGGGGATTGTGATGCGAAATACCAGAGAATCTATAACCTCTATTCGGAACAACTTCAGGTGTGGGTTTCCACCCCTCTGGAACAATTTTGAAGCAACGTTGTTTCACTTCATGAAGAATGCTTGGAACCTGATAATGGTCATTTGAGTTATTGAAGTAGCTCTTACGAGTCTTGATATTATGTTCAAAGTTTCTCAAAAAGCATTTGACGCCGATACTTTGGCTAGTCTCGCAAGCAAATCGGGACGCAAAAGCTTGGCAATGCCAGTTGGATTTCTCAATTGGTAATATTTAGCTTGCTGAATGAAATTCTTGTTCGAAATTTCAAAAACTCGTTACGTAAAGAATCCTCAGTGGAAAAATCTTCCGTTTGCTGCAGAGGGTTAGCAAGTCAAACGAAACAAAGTTCATCGATACTCTTGTAAAACTACTTTAGAGCATTTTTCTGCTGTGGAAGGGGTTCCGGAGGCCCAAACGGACTTATAAAATAGTAACTTCTCAAATTTGTTGACACAACCGAGTGTTACCGTATCATTTTGAACAATTGGCCTGAAACTATAAATTTAAAGAGTTTAGAGCTCATAGTTGAGAACTCCATGAATTCAGTATAATCGTTTCTTTTCTCTTCGTTTTAGCTTCACATTGCAGCAGCTTGTGGATATGAAGAAGTGACCATATTTTTACTGAAACACGGTGCCAAAATAGACTTAACCGACCGGGATGGCTGGCAAGCGATTCACATTGCCGCCTGCTGGGATCATGTAAGTTCACCAAGCTGTGTGTTCAATGAATCAAGTAGACCCCGTTGAAAATAAGGGCGCATTCGGAGAGATAGAGAGCCTAGTGTTATCCTACTCAAAAAATTCCGAGGAATATAGATCGTCAGACATCCACTCTTACAAACTGGATACTAGCTGGCACTGCAGAGTCTACCGACTTCGAGTTGGAAAGAGATTCCATGGTTGTTAATTGGCAGGGTCAGTGAGGTTCATATGGATTCCATCCTTGAAAATGGACAAACTCCAGGCTACTTACTTTTCGTCAGTTCCTTCATTCGCTTCTGCTGTACCATGTTTTAATCGCCTCTCGTTTCACACTGCTTCTGATGTGACCCGGAAAACAGTTCTATTTCCGGTAGATGGTAACTTGCAATTCTCAGAATGTGGGCAAAACATCGAAGCTTGCGTCGTTCGACACAGTCCCCAAGTTACTTACGAACTGCATTTTCTGTGGTAGATGTGGCGCGAATTCGTTTGCGTCAGTTTTTCTCATTTACAGTTGTCAGACCTCGCAGTCAACGAGCTAATGTCCTGCCTATTTGACGCTACAGACATACTCTGTCGTGGTGCGTGAATTTCGTGTATTGACTTCATACCATATCACAATCAAGGCCACCACGATAGATAAGCTCCCCCTATTACATCCAGCTCCCTTTCGTGTGCCACATAGGGTTTAGGCTGTTTCTCCGAACTTATACCCTAGTTTGTAACGGCAAAGCAGAACAGCAAATACCTGAGTTGATTGGTCATAACTGGCAAATATCGATCGCTTTTTCTCACTTGGATTTTACTGCGTTTCCGTTCCAATCTCGATGACCCGTCTTCTGTGAAAACAATCAGATAGCAAGTGACATTTCAGGACGCAAATGTCAGAACGGGGGCGTGATTCATGTGTACACCAATGATGTTAGTCAATAACTATGCGGGCGTGTTCGAATGCACATGGATTTAGGGTCACACGTGCGACCCTCTACACTCAAAGTAGTCGTGTTCAATAAGATGGTGGCAGACTTTTCACCAAATTAATCTCGCTGATCATCACTGAATTCTCAGCCTTACTTGGAGTGGTGAGTGGGGAGACTGTCGATGTCACTAAATCATAACTGTGGTAATCGTGAAGCTCTTAAGCTTTACAAAAGCCATTTTTGTCGGTCAAAATCCTCTATTTTGTATTTCGTGCTTCCACTGGCGGAGGCATCCCCAGAAACACCGACTGGAAAGCTTGTCATTGTCCATAATGCTGTTGTCCTTAACCAATGCACCTGTCCACCCTTGGCAACCAAACCCAGTCATTTTCTTAGGCATCACCACACATCTCTTCAAGGAGCATCGAAGCACCCATCGAAGCAACACTTTTCAAATAAAACAATCCACGTGGTTCCAGTTTAGAACATTTTCTTTTGGAGACCTGAACGACTGACCATATGAGCAAAAATCACTGGATGCAAAACCTTTTTCATGAGACTTTGAGGCACTGAAGATGGGGAGGCGATTTCTTGACACTTTATTTTGAGGTCCCCAGAACAAGAGACCACCCACCGGAACCATTCATAAAACTAATTTTCGGGATGAAAGAATGCAAACTTGGAGGATGTCACTAACTTGCAATCGGGTTCATCTCTTGACCGAACCTTCACATGTCTTTTTTTATTCATCACGAATGCCATGGAGCAGAGTGAGCGCCATGTATGACATACAGTTTCAACGCCGACGAAGTTCACTCAAGAAGGTAGGAATGTCAGATAGTGAAACTTCTGCTCATAGTTTCAGAAGGGCTTGATAAACAATCGGTAATTTTTAACTGGTCAACGTTTCGCTTTTGACATGAAAGCATTATCAGGCCAACTGAGTAGGTCACCAAATTGGCCAGGTTATAAGGCAGACGGGGAGACCATCAGTAAGTCCTCCTCATATTATCACACTAGATCGGTGTTGAGTGTCAATTAACGGCACTTGTCGGTTAGTGTGGTTGCCAAAATCTTGAATTGATAATTTGGAGAAGTTTCAAACTATTTTCACAAAGGAAACTACTCACGAGGTCGCCGAAAAACTCTTTGACAGCCCACAACCGGTTTTGCCCTTCTTCGGGCTCATCAGGTAGACGCAGTCCCCGAGTTTCCGTCAACCTTATGTTCTAATTGAACCCAAATTGGACCGTTTTCGGGAAATACACTCATTCGCAAATCAATTATGTTCCCACGAGAGACTCAAATGAATCTTTCGTTTATGATATTCTACCACTGAATGTGCTGCACACAGGCCGCCTCATGTTTCAGTTGACACGATATTCGAGATATCGCAGTATATTTTCATGAAGCAAACTACTCACAAGGTTGCTGAAAAATCTTCCAGAGCCCATGAACGGTTTCGCCCCTCTTGGGATCATCAGGCAGGCACAGTCTTCATACTGATTTGAAAATGAGTTCCAAACTAGTTCCGGTCGACTCATGTTCCTTAATCTTCCACTTCAGGGTGCCTAAATTGATGATCCACCTCAGGGGCCACTTGTAGGTTTTCCCTGGTCTTTGTTGGGTTGTGAGTGCTCCGATAATTTAGTCTTAGGGGCTTGAGGTCAAGTGGAATTCAGATGATGACCACTCTTCTGATGACCGTACACCGACACGTGTCAGCTCGAGTGACCCACGACCTTTCTTCACACGCTAGCCAGTTCCACACCTTTTATTCTGTCAACACTGGGATGCTTGCCGATTTCTACCGCCTCGGCAATCAGTCTGTGTGACGTGGACCGTAGTACTCGCCTCAAGACCTCAAAATTTTCTAAATCTATTTTGTGCCCCGTGTCCAGTGCGTGTTCCGTAATTGCTGAATCTTTTAGTAACGCTTGGTATTCATCTACGTTTCTCAGCAGCCTGTTTATTTTTCTACTATGCTATCCGATTCCGATGTAAAGTTCTCTGGCCATCTGGTGCAATCTTTACGCTTAATTTTGTAGACACTCCCGGTAGGCGATCCTTCAGTTGCACCAGTGCAGAGTGTTTCCCTTTGGAAAGCTACTCGTATGTTAGACGTGTTTAGATTTCTTCGAATGACCTCCGATGTTCCTGGTTCATATGGAATAACAGTTGTCCCGATGCATTCCTTGTTGGGTTTTGCAGCCGTACTAATACCCTTCGCAAGTGACGCCCAGTCAAGCTAGCTGGACATCCACTTAGCCGAAATTTTCATTTACTTCAATTTGGCCGCTATCCGATCAATTTCTTCTGTGGCAGGGGCCCTTTACACGCCTAAAATTGATGAGGCCATACTGACGAATACCGACAGAAGAGTAGTTCGAAACTGCTCACAGTATTGTGCTGTTTTGACAATGCTTGGCGTAAATCCTCCCACCAAAGCGGTATCCTTGTTTCAGTAAGCTTTTGCGCTCATGTTTCCACTATAAGTTAATTAGATATGCTGGAGTAGCATGACTTCAACTTCTGGTTTGAGTAACTTATAGTAGCCCATATTCTGCAAGTTGTGAACACGTCTGAGTTTACTCATGGGCATACGATAACATGGTGACTTTGACTGGCCCGACTTGGCTGGACTTGAGACACGCTACCCTACTCCTATGGTCGACACCATAGGACCAAATTCCAGACGTCAGATTGACGGCATAGTTGCTTTCTGCAATGACCACAACGGTTTATTCAACAATGTCTACATCCAGTAGAACTCTGACAGACGAGCAATCATACATTGTTCGGGACATTGACAGACATTGCCCATTCACGAGCTCCGTTGCGCGTATTCATCCGAGCTGTTGCCTTCAGTGCATAGCTTAGATTCCCGAATTTTGCAATGTAGTCTTTCGACATCCTTGCATTCACTCAAATTGTACCACCTACCGCATCCAGTGCATAGCTATCCACTCGTATCTCCTCAGCTCATCGGCGGACAAAACTGTGGCAGCTATAACCACTGCAAGGGTCTTTTATAGCTAAAGATGAGGAGGAATGGAAGTTTAGGAACACGACAAAATAGCTTCTTATGATGCGCCTCTGACTAAGTAGGATTTTTGTTTCATCCGTGGGAAGAACTAGTTGGAGAAGGCAATACATAAACGGAATCTACGAGTGTAGCTGTACTTCCCTGTTAGTTGGACGTTTATATAAGTTATTCAACCCGCATATCTTGAGGCGTTTCTCTGTCCATTCATTTACACTTTTTTTAAATCCCATAGTTGGAAATAATTGAGGTTCTGGTCAATTTTGGAGCCGATATAATGGCTGAGACAACGTCTGGAGAAACTGTGTTTGATATTTGCGAGGACTTGGAGATTCATTCCCGTCTGATCGAATTGAAGCAGGAAATGGAAAGAAAACAGTCCCAACAACTCGACTCACTGAGTCGAACAGAGCGACCTCGAGAGCTTGTTCGTCGACGAAGTAGCACAAACCCCAGAAGGTAAGCTATTTGTGAACATGCCTTTAAAGGAGCAGATTGCATTCAACTCTATACTATTGTCTACACCTCTGAGATATTCCTCGTCCAGACGCTAGGAAATCGTCCACGACTTTTGCAGACAAATCAGGTTTAATAGCGGCACAACAATCAGGCAACAAAACTGTCTATTTTGCATCACTGAATCGCTTTGCTCAACTTACAAAACCAACAAGACAGTTGTTTAGGTATTGTCTCTGTTTGCTAAACGCGAAAATGAGGGACAATCTAGTTTCAAGAAAAGATTGGTCAAAGATAGTAGGAAATGAGTTGTTCCGCTGACCCTTCAAAAGCACACGCTGATCGCGTTTAAGTGGATAACTTGAATGAGTGATTGAGCTCCATGAGCACGGCCCTCGTATGCGAGCAGATTTAGGGTTCTATTTGATGGCGGTCTTGACGTAGCCGAGTGACCTATGACCCGAGTAAACTGTGCGATCAATGACGTGGGTACTTCCTAGACAATCGTTTAAGGCCACTTATGTGTCCTCGATGACTACCCTCTCATGGAGTGAGCAATTTTTTTCCTTCGAGAAGCGAACCCAGCCAACTTGAAAATACCAAAAAGTAACGAAGGAGCACGCAAATTTACGGAACTATCCTATGGTGATGTCTCGCGGATCAAAATTTCCCGCCCACTTCACCTGAAAATTACTACCAACCACATTATGGTTCTTTGGCTGGTCCGTGGATGCTATTTAAAGGGCGCTTCTCTTGTCCCCGTTTTCAAACAGCTGCCAATCGGAACAGCTGTTCTCGGATCGCATATGCCCGCGGCTTTGTATGCCTAATATGCCCACAGAGTGCACAATCTCCTTGGGTCTGAGACCAAGTCTTCAGTGGGTGGTTCCTTGATGATAATTTGTTCGTTTTATAAGCGGAGCGAGTTACAGCTCTCAGTGGAATTGCATCAAACTGAGGACATGAATGCCATTAGCATGGCTGTCAAAAACCTCACAAAGGGATTTCAGACAGCTTCTCAGCTTGGATTCAATATTCTGTCGCCTGGAGTTCTTATCAATCAAAAGCACTTATGTATCTATGGTCGAGAACCATGGACGCTTCATGGATATGATACTTTGCGGAGGAAGTCGGCTTTCGCTGGAAAGCACTGGCTCACAAAATGATCGAATCAATAATGCTGAACGTAAAATAACATGAATGTGATGCGTACATTGACACACTGGAATACCCAATATTGTTGCTGGCTTTTGTGAACATACTCACAGGTCGCTTCTGTTTCATCTCGTAGCGATGTTGAAATGATCTACCTGTATTCCTGGTCACTACTTGACTAGTATTTGGTAGAGTATTCTAGTGTAATGATTGTAAGAAGTTGCAAACATCTGTGAGACAAAAATGAGGGGTTTGTTTGAAATGGGGATGTAGAACCGCCATTCAGTGTTATTCACGCAATCAGTGAAGCGCAAGGAAGTTTTGAAGTGAAAGAACTACTGAAACCTAATCAAAGTATTTTCCGACGGGAAGTCACCATGAAATAGCTCTGTAATTTTGACGTGCATATTTGTCAATTGTTGGGTTTTTTTTCACCAATGGATCATAGAACTATTGTTGCCGATGCGGGTTTTGATTTCCAATCGGTCTTACCGCATGTCTGCCTTAAACTTACCTGATTTCATCCCATAACGGTGGACTTATGGTGACAAACCCGCATGGTCTATTAGTCTTGTCTGGGAGAATACCTGTTTCATCTGTGTACTCGTTTATTCAGCCTAAATAGATCTTTGTAGTAATCTAGGGGTGGTAGTTTAAATCAGGTCTGTTCTCTCGTGGTATGTGTTGATGAACCGACAGATTGGCTGGTGAAAGAAAGAGCACCTCCGAGTGCGGAACTGTTTACTGACGAACACGAAGTAAGCGATCACAAACAATCAAACACGAAAGTGGAAACCTCATTTGCACAGAATGTTTTGAAAAGTGAACATCCTCACTTGTTTCCATGAAGAAAACTGCCGACGACAGACCCTATTAGACAGATCCTATCAGAATGAAACGACCGGCACATGAGAAAGCTCCTTTCACTCGCCTGAACAATGTACTTCCTTTTGCTTTACCATCCTTACACTCAATTTGTACTCCTAGTTTTTACAGATAAGCCGGCTGAACGCGTTGAAAAAGTTTTAAGACCGCACCCAATCCATTTCTGGCAGAGCTTTTTGATATCTAGATTTTTCGTAGTCCCTGTGCCACACCGGATGTTCTCGTCAGTTTACAGTTTACAGACGCGGGCCATTGAGGTCGATGGCTCCCTTGACTGCCTTTCCATCTTCACACGTTTATCGGACATCAGTGAAAATCAGAAATGTATTGTACAGCCCTGCAGACCGTCTAACTACGAATGTTTTAACGCAGTCTTATTCTTGGTGTTGCTGTAGCGGGGGATTTGGTTGCTGATAGTTGTGAGAAGTTGGATTGAATTTACACAGAAAAATGTCAGCTTTTCTTGCCAACAGATTCAATGGGTACTGCGGAGAATAGTGGGTTCCAACAGCTTGCATGACCTTAGAACCACTCGGTATAGCCCGAAACTGGTCTCTCCCCGGGCACCGCGGTAGACATGATTAACTTCCAGGAAGTTTGTTACCGGTGGCAATGGTGAATCAACGAAGAGTACTGTTGGCGAGTTTTTATGGCCTGAAGGAGGGTTAGGGGTGTAAACCAACCAAACCAAGATCTGTGGTTGACCTGTGAGGACGTGATGTGAGGGTGCGGTTCATGCAGATCACCAGAATTTTAGACTTGAAACACATCATCACTGTCGGTTACGAATGTGGATAACTTGGTTCTGTTAAACCTGAGGCCCATCGTTCACTTTTGTTTTGTACTCACTTGGCTCACAAAGATACCCTTGGCCATTCTTGTTCTGTTATACATGAGCCACTATTCCATTATTTCTGTGGTTCCCACCATCTAACTTGTTCGCCTAACTCTTGAAAACTTTTGCCCGCTGTAATTTGACGCGACTGCACGGAACGATATATCATTTTTCGTCACCAACGACAGCTGCCTGGGTAAGCCTGTCTCTTTATCATCTGCCCTTGGAGACGAATCTCCAATAACCGGCAACAACACACCCTTAGCACATGATCTCTCGACGACTAAAGCTGGACTGAAGATAATTGTTAGCTGGTCTGTGGTGACGCTTCTCAGACCAACCAAGCTTGTAGTAAAAACAAGGTCCACGCCAGTTGATTTGCAGGTTTTTAACTTTCGCGCACACACTACTTTCAACTAAGCTATAAGACGTTTCCACGCTTGACAGGACATAGCAGGTAGGTACAGCTAACCATGCGACTAACTGATAGGGAGGATCCAACTACACAAAACTTCAGGCTTTTGATTTACCCGGCACAATGTGTCGACTCATCGTACAGAACTCCGAGGGTTAAAAATAAATCAAGTATTAGAATCTCCCGCATGGTTTGCCCAGAAGACATTCAGTCGTCACCTGGGCCGAGATGTTCCAGTAGTCGGAGTACGAACGGAAGGTTTTCGGTTCTAACCCGACCTCTGCATCTCGACTTCTCATGTCTAGGTTTGGGCAATGAGACAGTATTCCAACCCTCGTGCTTCCTTCTGGTGGCATGGCAGCTGGACACCGAAAGAGCGGATAATCGGTTTTGTTGTTTGGATGGACACTCACAGGTGACACGGACTACTTTTGATGGATTGTTATCACAGCCCCGTGTTTGTGTACACGTGACTCATCAGCAGCATCATTGACAGTAACCGCAGAGGAGAATTATTGTGCTTCACTTCCTTGAGTTTATTCAACTAAAGCCTTATAATGAAAAGAAGAAAAGCAAATGGGACAGGAAGACGGAGCTAGGGCTGGTCTGTCATGACAGATCACGAACTGAGCAGAAATTGACCCGAATGTTTGGTCAACATGTTTCATCCTGCGGAAGAATCTACTTCGTGCTCTATGTATGCTGCATGTAGACCAATGAACCATGCTTTTCTGCGTTCAGCAGCATGCCTTATCTCCCGGTATGTGACAATAAAAGTCACCGCACAACACGTTGCATGCTGTCAGATGTGAACCGGCTATTTCATTTCACATGCACAGACACCCTCCGGCACTCTTCAGCCAACTGAATACTTCCCCTTCAGGCTAACGGACCTATTGCCGTTGCCACTATTCAGTGGCAAAACCCTGAACAGGAGCTTGTTCACAGTAAGAAATAAACGTGTTTTCAAAACATGGAATCATGACAGCAGCTGATGTATTCGTCTGTAAGTTGTCCATTTTCGATCCTCTTGTTTTCGACCATCGACAACTAGATCTACCCGCGGCATCGGTCATTTCCACCATCTATGGTAAATCCAGTCGGATATAGGGTTCATGATTCTTCCGTCTACATTGAGACCTGTCCGTTATCGCGTCTTTCTTGTTCTCTGGACTCAAGTCGCTGATCGGTATCATGCCAGGACCGATCTGCGAACAGCTATCAGGCATGGGAGACCTAGTCCCCCGTAGGTTTCATGGGACGTCCAGTTTGATAACTTAAAAAAGATTCGGTACTCTTTGCGTTTCTGGACACAGTTTGACTTAGCTTCATGGAAGACACTAAACTGAAATACTCTCTTGTCAACAGGATTACTGGATTGTTGTCCACTTTGTTTTGCATTTGAAAGAGATTCCTATCGAAAGCCCAATTAGGAGTTCGTTCAAATCTTTTGTTTAAGTACTTGACATTGGAAAGTTATGGCTCTCGGTTGACGCTAACTTGAACGCGATATCGCTCTTCCTTTTTGAAAAAGTTTGGTGACAATCGGTAGATTTATTGCTGAGCAACGTTTCGCTTTTGACACAAAAGCTTCGTTGGGCCAAGTGACTAGGTTCCGAGGTTGGTCGAGATTTAAGGCGGAAGGAGAACCAATCAGCGGTTGAACAAGTGTTGGGTCGGTGGGGAAACCTACATGTGTTAGGGTCCAGCCTAGGGTCTAGTTCTTCTGGTTCGGTTCATTTGATGGTTCCTCTTGAACTTCGCTTGAACCTTCTGTCAGTCTGTGTGGGTGAGCTAGTGCTAAGAAAGTTGTGTAAGAGGGATGTTGTGACCTTTGGTCAGTTGAGGTTCCCACCCCCGCCTTCGGTTTTTCCTAATGATCCTAAGTGGATTGACAACCACACCGTCACGTGTCAACTCGGCTTATCTAAGACCGCTTTCCATATGCTCGCTAGCTCCACACCCTCGATTCTATTCACTCTAACACACTAAAATCCCTCGACCGACACCCAACAGAGATTTATCTTGATTTAGCTGATTGGTTCTCCTTCCGCCTTAAATCTCGACCAACCTCGGAACCTAGTCACTTGGCCCAACGAAGCTTTTGTGTCAAAAGCGAAACATTGCCCAGCAATAGATCTACCGATTGTCACCAAACTTTTTCAAAAACGATGACTACTCAATCGGTTCCAAGTATTTTTCACGTGATTGAACGATGTCGCTCTGTTTTCATGTCTCATCAGACCTGGTTACTCGTCTTGAATAAGACCTAATGGCCTTCTTTACTCCGACGAGTTTCGTTGAAAATCCTGTTAACTTTCATGGTATTTCAGTGCATCCATCCGCCGAACAAGCATGCGCGAGAAGAAGATGATTTCCTGGAAGGAAGCAAAACAAGAAGCAGAAATGCGTGGCATCACTCCAATCAACCTGATTGAGGGCGAAACCCCGGAAAGCGATGCCGAACAGGTTAAACGTCAGCAACAAGGGCCAATCCAACTACCGGTAGATGCTAATTTCGAGCGACGTGTGACAAGTCCGTTAACTGTCAGCATATCCAACGATAAGGGCAAACCGAATGCAACGTCGTCTGCAATTCGTAGTCCTTCGCCCTCAGGCCAACCGTCATCAGCCGGATCTGTTAGTTCCCCCCAAACCAAGCCCGCCACTGCGCTCACTTCTCCTCTTCCTCCTGGTCCCGGGCGGCTTTCAAACGGCGTCACCTCTCCTGTATCAGGGCTACCACCGTCGAGGACACAGGATAGAAATGTAAGCCTTTAGTTTACGAATAGTAATGACAACATCTTACTTTTGAAACTGAACAAGTTGAGGTCATACTAAGCGATGTTTTTGACAGCTGCTGAAATACGGATGTCCGTTCTCATTCCGCATTCATAATAATCAACCGAACAAAGTGCATGTAGGCCTCAGCTTCTGCCGGAAGCTCTTTGAACAGCGAACTTCCGATGATTACAACCTTTGTTTCTAAGGTCATTTTCGCGGTCACCGATTAGCCAAGGTACTGTAAGAAGCTTCTGGACATGACAGTACATAAAACCATTCTTGATAACTCAGTGCTACTAGTTCAAAGTCGAACATCTTTATCGGTTTATATTCTATATATTAATAAAAATTTACTTTTCTTTGGTGATCTGAACTTGGTGGCATCCTATAGACAATTATCTCATTATTTCTAATCCCATTCCTTTCCTATCCTCGTTATCAGTTAACCTGGTGTACCGGCTAAAAATGAGATCAGTTATTATTTTTTTACTTGGTGTTTTGATAATTTCTACGTTGATCACTAACATTTCCTATGATTTAATGCGAAAAATTCATGCCCTCTAACAGTGGTGTCCCATTTTCCCATCACTATCATAGTCTGCTAGGCCTCAAAGATCAGACAAGGCATTGAAGACTGCGGAACCAAATGGAACTGACTTGACAAGAAAAGAGAGAGAGGAAAAAGAGTCCGGAAGCACTAGACGACTTTCTTCGAAACCAGAATTGCCGAACAATGCAGTGCCATCCCTCCAAACGCGTTCCACACAGAAACAGTATTTGACCATGGATGTTCAGTCTACGGGAAGTGTTAGCCCCGTATCCAGGTCTCGCCCCCGCCAACCTACCGATAGGTATACCAACCTCGCCGTCACCAACGGCACTAGTGGAGGGGCTAGCAGAAATCGCGATTTGAACGTCATTGCTCCATCCCCTCAGGCTACCCGCCGGTCTACCAGCTCTTTAGGCAGAAAGAAAGTGCCTGAGCAAATAAATATTAAACCTGAATTAAACTTGTCAGCTCACAATGCCTACATGATGCCACCCCCCTCAACACCGCATCCCTCAACCTCGGAAGTAACGAACAGGAACACAACAAGCAGCCTACCTCGATCTCACCTGACCAGAAATATATCGGGGCATCAGCCTACACGTACTGTTGGTCCGGTTCCCCGAAAGAACACCAAAGAACTCATTGTTTATGATTCCGATCCCAGAAACAGTGGAAAATGCTGTGTTCTCATGTGATATTGCACGGACAACGCTCATCTTCCTTCCTGTCTGTCTTCAGGCGCCAACTTTCACATTTTGCCTGTGATCAGTGTTTCGTTGAATGGAACAGAAAAAAAGCGTGTACCCCTACTGACAGTTCACTTTCCGTTATGCTTTCGGTCTGCTTTCTTCCCGATAACTGCCAATTATGTTCAGCTCCTGCAGATCACCTCAAAGCGCTATGATCGGATGGTACTTTCGGACAATCATTCCGTTTTTCGATTGTGTAACATCTCAATCTCTGGTTAGTTGTGCTCTGAAACACATCTAACTCAAACCTCAAACTTGTACAGGCATTGAAGTAGACTCGTGTGTACTCAGTCACGGTACATTTAGGGACTGAATCGCTTTTGTTTTTGCCAAGAAGAAACTCTGTGTACTTTCTACTTTCCGACCATCCACATTATCCAAAAACCGATGTAATCTTTGTGTACTTTATCTGGTCATGTCTTCAACAAATGTTTTTTATTTTTTCATGATCCTTGTATTTTGTTGATTTAATTAGCCATGAGCTGGGGAAGCGAGTGAGGGACTGAAAAAGTGCTTTTTTGTTCAAGCATATCTATGCTATGGATACCAACCTGTTGCGGTGATTTTCAGATATTTTGAGCAGAGCAAACCTAACCCAACAAAAAGATCACTTTTGCTTGCTAGTCTTTGCGCTTTGCGGGAGCCCGACCACGAAATTCTTTCTTTCCAACGACTTGGGACTGTAAAAGGTGAATGAATTATTTCTCGTCAAACCGATTAGTTTAGGATGGGTGACGTGATACCTTCCCCCAAGGTGACTGATCCCGAAACGGATGAAACGTTTTCTGGGTCCGACCCCAACTTTGTCAGAGGAAAGCGTGTTTCACGATGGTTGTTTTCTTTGAAGACTTTGTGAACGCGTAGCAAAACATTTCAATGTTGTCCTCTGTCCAGACATTGACTTGTTTGGTTTGTTCCTGACCGTTAACAGAACAGTGATGATTTCAAAACACCCTGTCCTCAAGTTTGTTGCTGCTAGTGACAGTAATGGTAATGAGGATAACAAGGATTCTTATTGCCGCGTGTTTGTATTAGTTCTTTTGCTCCGTACATTTTCTGCGGAATCCAAACAACGGTACACACTTAGTTGTACTGTGAGCGAGTTCACCGATGTGCAGTGACGCTCAGCACCTTAGTTTCGGACAGGATGCTTACTAGTGTTTTTATTTGTACACTTAATATACGTGGTGGAACCATGTGATTGTGGTTGAATTTCTGCCTACGCAGAACTCCTTGGTGTGCAGTGGCTTGCTAATCTTGAGAACTTTAGTAAATTTGAAGAAAATATCCATAGGCCACTTGACCTTTTGTTCGAAGCAACCATTCGACTGATAAATTAGCCCAAAAACAGCGAACACAATGAGATTAAAGTGTCAGTTTGCACTTCAATATGTCCTTTTACGAGTGGCCTAGAAATTGAGTTTAGCTGTCCAACGGTTATTAATCAGTAGAGAAAGCTTACGTTCAACTGGACAGCGAACAGCAAAAGAATCATTCGGTAACTCTGCATTTGAAAGGGTCTGGGTAGGTTTTCTCCATCCATTTGATGATATGAAGGCGCTTGACTCTTTGAGAATGTAGTTTAATGCTTGCGTACAGCGCTGGTTCTTACGAACAATCGTTTGCGGCATTGTTACTTAATCGTTGTATGAAGGATCAATGGAATGGCTTAAAATGTAACCTCATCTTATGTAGTTTGTTGACTCTCGCTCCATTGGCTGCATACTGTAGGCTGTAAAATCAGGATTTGTTGACACTGGTAGAATTTTGTATTAATATGGACAGTGATTCTCCTACAACACACAGGTATCACCTACGATCCTAAATGAATTACTTCACCTTCATCGTCCACCTACACTGAACGAGTTTGGATGTAGACTCTAGCGCGTCAATCACCATTTCTTATCTACTCTACTATCGATCGGCAGGACCGTAGCTGCTGAACTGACCTTACTTTATCACGTGATTTCAAGCTAACCGACTGACCCCAACCTGAATAATCTCTTTTATCTGGTCTCTGACTATTAATAGTCAAGTTTGCTCTTTGGGGTCGGTCAGCAGTCTAACTGATCACACCATTTGCCAAAAATGCATGTGAACTGTCAGTGACCGGTATGTACACTAGTTGAGCATGCTCGAGAGTAGTTGAGCTGATGTACCTCATGTAATCGATTGACTTAAGTTAACTGCTTGTACCAGACAGTTTGTTCTTTTAAATTGCGGTCCCATATACACACCGAAACGGGTCCTACATATGCTTCAGTCGGAGATTTTAAACCCAGCCTAGGTTCAATTTTTCTTTATTCGGATCACTTTAATACAGAAAAGAAAACAAGTATGACGTAGCACAGTGCTCCGTTGTCAGAATTATCGAGCGCGACAGTTCTATTCGAACGTCGAAGAAAACTAATGGAGAGAAGTCCAGTTATGTATAGGCGTTCGCTAGCTCTGAACTGGGCCGGTAGTTCTTCGTAATACAGAGATCGCTGCACGTGCTATCGAACTAATCTGTCCCGTGGGTTGAAGACTGGCAAGTAGTACCAAGTGTTGCACCAGAAATAGTACTTTGAATACGCAACGATGGGCTACTGAACCTTAGAAGTGGATGTAATTAAGGTTTGTAAACCCGCTCATTCAGAGGTGAATGGCAAGGTAATGAAAACATATGCCTTAGGAAACGCGTGATTATGGAAATTGATCCTGAAACTAAGACCGGGGAGAGACCATACTATGCAGAGTTAGGTAGAGCGATGAGAAATTGTTCAGTAATCTAAGTTGTTAAACCTGGTTTGGTGTGGTCGTTAGCTTGTTTGCTGAGCTGGGCAATTTGATTGCAAACGTTTCATCACCAATCGAGATGACATCATCAGTGCGTTTTTGTGGAGCGTAGTAGTGCGTAGCGGTGGGTTGTTGGTTGCACTGATGTTGATGTCACCTCAATTGGTGATGAAACGTTTGCAATCAAATTGCCCAGCTCAGCGAACAAGCCAACGACCACCGTCTACGATACCTACCAACATTTTCCTGATTTGGTGTGCACGCTGGACCGAAATTAAAAGATACAGTTGTCTCGCCTGACTACATAGAAATATAGCTTTGATGAGTCGGTCACTATAAGTAATCAGCGACTCGTTCCCCTACCAAATCCGGAAAACAACCTTAAATCCACGTTTGTGTATATATTACTGTAACGGCGTACACTACTGATGAAGCATGCAAGTAGTCCTTGTCTGAGCCACTCACGGGAGGTGAACTTCATTAAGGAAATTGTCGAACCGCTTTACAATGTTCGTTTACTATTGTATAATAGTCAGTGAATCTTCATAAAAGTTCAAGTGGACCCTTGAGAATGTTCAATTTTCAAAAACTATGTGCACAGGAGATATTTACTTTCGTGTGGAACGGCTTGTAGCAGTTCAGTTCATGTTCGATCGTCAGTGAATTCCCAGCGAAGGACCTTCTTCCCTTCGTTAGTGACTAATGACCTACTTGAATTTCCGGGCGAGTAGTATATACCCTCGTCACTATCCGTGATACTGCTTTTTTTCACTAGCTGTTTTCTGTAGACGGTTTGTTTAGTAATTTAACTAGACAAACGTTGTGTGGCCTTGCCTTTTACTTGAAATCGCGAGTCGTTCACAGCATGCATGACACAATAGGTCTCTAAAGCAACATGACGCATCATTTTCTAAGGTGTGAAAGCCACTAATTTCTGGGGGTAACCGAGTCTTATGGATTTCTTTCTGCGGAGTTAAAATGCTGTATAACTGAAATCAAGCGAACAGTGCACAATCTAGGACTAACCTGAAGTGTTTGCCTTACGAACCGGAGTTGAAAGTACAACTTTAAGTTATCTAAGTTAGAAAAGTTGTCAGCTGATTTGATCGGTTGACCAAAGAAGGTACTCACAATTTTACCTGCTATCGCGATAAGGCCTTTTGGGATCCAGATAAGTTCCGTCTATACCTAATCCTTGCATCTAGGTAGACGCTTTCGTTCGACGAGTATGAGAATCGACGTTGATCGCAAGGAATCCGAACTCATAACACCGCAATCATGTTGAGGGGTCCATGCTGATGATGGTATCACCTACTTATTGGTTAACCAAATTAAAAAGATGCCGTGGATTTGTAAAAAAAATATAAGATTAAAATTCCCAGCACAACCAAATCCTTCATGAGGGTGGCCGTTCGGTTAAATGGAACTTTAAGTGTTCAGTGATACTTTTGGGCCATTGAACAGCTGGTTTGAACAGAGGCTTTCCTATCTCTCCATGGGAGAATTTCGAGGGTTCGTTGGAGATGACGACGCAGGATATGAAGACACTTACTACTACTTGATCCTTTTCATTTGGTGTATGAATATGGCTTTAATGCGGCTTTAATCCTTCCCATTACCATCTTGCTTATCAGCTTGCTGCGTACAGTGCTGTTAGTTAACCAAAGTCGCTCCGAGATACCAACCCCCATGCTTCTGTCTTTCCTTCGTGCCTTTTGGCTCTCACAATGAACCGATAATCATAACATGCTTTGAGAAAGGGTTTCTCGTAAAAAACTTCAGTCACCTTTGTAACCACTGAGGGTGATCACACCAAACAGCAGAAATGGTGGTAAAATGTTCGTGAGTGATTCTCATACCATTATTCTGTTACTATCTGAATGGGATAATGCTGCACTTACTGAATACCAGTGTGATACCACTGAACCCGGTCCTTCTGTGGCCGGCCATACTGTTCTTTGTTTATTGGGGAATTGCTTGTGCAAATGATCGAAACACACAAGTTTTAAACAACTAATCACCTGGTTACACTGTATCCACCTGAATTATACTCCGTGAGAACACATGCACTCAACTAAACTCAACTAAGCAACATTGTCCTGTATAAACATACCATCTGAACTGTCTGTCTCTTGTAGTCTCGGGACCTTCACCTCTAGATGTGGATGGTTGCAGGTTTTGTAGAATGCATGCTCAAATCACTGTCGCTCGAACATTCGTCCCCCAGTCCTGGCACAATCATTCTGATAAGTCCACACTAAGGAGCGGAAGCAATGGACTCAAGTGTTGCTCTTATTGTAGCCCATCACCAGTGCAATCGCCTTGGCCTTGCTGGGATTTGAACTCCGCACATCTGACATGCGAAGCGAGTATGTTATCAACACTACACTAGAGCACGCTAAATGCACCAGAATTCTCATGTCTGAACAAGTGAACATCTTCGCGATTAACCTCTGCCCTAGGCAAAGGACAAACTAAGGTCTTCACGATATTCTACAATTGAATGTGCTGCACACAGACCGCCTCATATTTCAGTTGGCACGATATTCGAGATATCGCTGTATATTTTCATGGACGAAACTACCCACAAGGTTGCTGAAAACTGTTCAACAGCCCACGACCAGTTTCGCCCTTCTTGGACGGCGAAAGCTGTTAATTTTTTCGCACTTCGTTCTGGATTAGTGGGAAAAGGAAATCAATGGGGAGCTGTCAGAGTAGGAGACAATGAATGAACACATTTGCAGGAGCGTAGCTGTCTGCTCCCACTGGTTGTGAAACAGCGTGCGTACCACAAGTATGAAAATGATAAAATTCTGGCACCG